CACCACCACCACGACCAGCAGCAGCAGCACCATCACCAACAACAACAGTGGTGGTGGTGGTGGTGGTGGTCGTCGTAGTAGTAGTAGTAGTAGTAGTAGTAGTAGTAGTAGTAGTAGTAGTAGTAGTGATAGGAGCAGGAGCAGTAGCAGTCGCAGTAGCAGTCGCAGTAGCAGTAGCACAGTATTCGCAGAGTAGGGATATTAGGAGGCATACTCGGAGTGGGTGTAGGACTCGGTGCTTGTGCTTCCTGTAGCCCGAGGAACCCTCCCCGCCGCATTCAATAGCTACTGTCCACACGAAGCTTTCAGTGAGGACTCGCGTGGGGTGCTGAATCAGCGATTGTTAGCAGCCTGCCGCGCCCTCGAGCTAATTTTTTGGCTTGTTGCTCCGTTGAAGACGATGCCCATCATAGGACTGGGCTGAGGATGAGGATTCAGAAGGTTTGGCAAGGAGGGCGCGCGTTTCGAGCGGTTGTCACCGTCTTCCAGTCCAATACCTCAGATCTGAATCCCCTACCCCCTGGCAACACTAAGCTCGACGTTCTAAAACTTACACCCTCAAGACTGAACCCGGGAAACCGTAAACCCCCCAAACCCCAAACTAAACCCTGAACCCTGAATTCACGGCTCAAGCTGCCCACCAAATGCAGGGGTCTTAATTTAGTAATCGTATCCACTTATAGTGCCAATTGGGCAGTGGTATAGCATACGCCGGAATCGTATTCAGATTCTGAAGGCTCCCAGGCTCCCATCAGCCGCTATGCAACCCTCTGATAACCATAGCAGCTCTATGATACTCCCTACTCTAATCTTCGCGACCCCTATATACAACTCTCTAAGACTCTTACAAGATACCCTCGAACAGCCACATACACGACCCTATTCCAACTGTAGAAAGCGCTTTTGAACCCCAACTATCTTAACACCCTAACTAACCCTAAACCCTAAACCCTGAACCCTAAACCCTAAACCCTAAAACCCTCAACACCAACGTTCAGGCCGCGACAATAATATCGGAGCGCTGAAGATGGCTCTCGAGGAGGCCCGGCAGTTTCGGGCTGTAGGGGGTAAGGGCTTCGGTTTTTACCCATTCTTGAGCCTCCAAGTCATGGGCTAGTGGTTTAGTATAGGGTCGTATAATGGCGGGGGGGGGGGGGGGGGG